TTTTATTTTAAGACAAAAAAGTAAAATTTATAAAAATATAGGAACTAAAAAAAATATATATATATATATATATATATATATATTAAAATCTCTTAATAACCACCCACTATTTGTACTAACTTGTGCCTATTCAAACCACTAGTAATATATAAAGGAATATATCACTTTCAGTCGTTTTTGACTTCCACTTTATTAAGACGGTTTTACTCCTAAATATTTATTTATTTATTTGTTTTTTTAGGAATTTTCTTTCCTCTCATTGACACATTTTTTGATCAAAGATTGTCTCTACATTCATCTACTATTCACATAACTTCATTTTTTTCATTTAAAATAAAATAGTGTCTTAAAGTACATCTTTTTCATTAGTAATTATAAGACAAAAGTAATCGATGCTTGATAAAATCAGGATTAAAATAACTATTATTTAATAATTAAAATAATAGAGGAATGTTATCTTAATTAGTTTTATGAACTAAATAAATCATTACTAATAGTTCTAGGGCCTAATTAACTATTCCTCAAAATCCATTGTACATTCTAGAAAACAAGTAAAAAATGTTAATTGATTTTTCAATTAAAAGATATGAACTAAAAGTAAATACAAAAAAAAAAAGTGACACCCAAGACTCCAATCAAACATGACTTTGTTTTATTTCAAGAATATTTAAATTTTGTTACATATATAGATGGAGTTCATGAGCGAAATGTATACAAAGGAACCGAGTTCCAATTATATTTAACCGAACCAAGAGCTTGGGGAGCAGGAAGGGATATTGTACTTGTACATGATTCTGCGCAATCAAGCAGAACACAGATCTAGTTTATTCACCAAAACAATTCACTCAATAATACTCGCCACAAAAATCACTATATACCAACAATAATAATCCAGAGGCACAAATTCAAACCAAACCTCATGCATGCATGCATGCATGCACGCACGAGTTGTTTCATGCATTTGTTTGACGACCGTGGCAACACTTGTACTTAACAGAAGTGACTTTCATGTCATGATCACACTTATGACAAGGTATGTGAGCCAGAATGTCCGCAGGGTAGTTAGCGAATTCCCTATCTTCGCACTTGGGAGGCACACTCTTAGCCTCGCATTTCTTGTAATGCTCCTTGAAGGCCACGTCGAAGCTTATCTCTTGCTGCAACTTCTCCTTCCAACTATCGAAGTCCCTCACAGTCTGAAGCATGGCCTCGCCCTGGCCCAGAACCTTCACGTGAGAGCCTCTGCTGAGAACGGCCCACCCTTGTGGATCTTGCTTCAGGGACAACAGTTTTTGGATCTCTTCTGTTGTGGAGTCTTGCACTTCTTCACCACCACCACGCTTTCTTCCTAGCTTCCTGCTTGCCAGCAAGTTGTCTATTGTGATCCAGAAACGTGGAACGATCTTGGGGTTGTCCCTTCCCAATGGGTAGGACTCGATTGTGGTTTCCTCTAGGTTCAGAATTTCGTTGTTTTTCAGTTTCTCCACTGCTGTGGTGAACTCTTGGATCCACTTGGTGTTGGTGCCCCCGTAGATGAAGATGTACGAGTCCCTTTTGATCTAGTTTTGGACATCAATAAGTATAGATTCATTTATCTTAAGTGATATCTAAATTTAGGTGCGGTCAGGTGCTGTTCTTAGATCAGAGTTGAAATTTTATCTTGATATCATACACTTACATTTAATGTAAGTTCCATTAATATATATTTTAGATAGGACAAAATTTAGGTATAATTCCTTAATTTTTTAATCAGAGTTAGAGTTTTATATTGATATTATGTATTTGTATTTAATATAGATCTCATCGATATAAATTTACACATACTATCAAGTTAAAACTCTAACTTTGATCGGAGTATAATACCAACTGCATATAAAGAAATATATCTAAATTTTGTTCTATGTAAAAGTTAGCAACATCTAATATACTAATATTTTCTCTATTATTTGTTGAAAGTGACAATGTTTTTTTGAGTCTTATGACCAAATTAGGAGAAATATGCTGGACTCACAAAATTTAAAATTTTCAAAAAATTTCAACCAATATTAAAAAGAAAATGTCAGTATCATCCATCCTTTGTAATGATAATGTCAAGAGACCTTAGGATTATAGTCACAATCTACTTAGATGTCACCAGAAACTATCACTTTATGTTTCATTGATACATAATAGTTGTATTTAATAAAAGAATTTAATTTAAACATGCACACACGTTGTGAATAGTTTTTTTCATTATTATCTAGTATGATAATTTTGTTGACTTTTATAATAATTATAATAAATTATCTGATATAATATTTGATAAATATACTTTTTTTTTATACTTATGGTGCATGCATAGAAATTAAACACATGATTAAATATATAGATCATATGCATGATAACATGATTCCAATTTGTGTTATGTACAGGTAACAGATTAACATAACTTACATATTTAAATGCACTGCACTGGTTTGTTTGGCAGAATCCAACAATGCAAAAACAATCACTAACGAATTATGTATGAACTGAACAAGACAAGCATTAGTTTGTAGGGCTTAGTACTTACCAATTCCCTTATTGGTGGACTGAGGGTGATTATTTCAGTCCAAAACCAGTTCCATTGTTGAGTGAGTCTTGTGTGATCAGAGGTTCTGAAAGGAAAGCCATCAATGCCCCATGTAGAAATAATCTGCTTTGCATCAGGGTTTTCCACTTTACCCTCAGGGCTTATGAGCATGATCATGGGGTTACCCTTGTAGTTGAACACCTCTTTGATCAGATCAATACCTGTTTGGAAACTGAATTCCTTCACCACATACCACCCAACCTTGACATTTTCTAACTTTTTCTTTTGCTCTTCATCCCAAACACTCACTATTGGGATCCACAAAATCTTGAAATTCTCTTTCCTGTAACCCTCTAACTCCTTTGGCTCTTGCTCTTCTTTCAATTTTTCATCTATTGATTTTAGAAGCTGAATCTCATGTTCAATGTGGTCAAGGCCCGAAATGAACAACAAGACATGCTTATTCTTAAACTCTACTAGTTCAACCTGTTAAAGAGTCAAAGAGATAATAATAAACAATGAATATGTTACGTTTCTCAAGACTAGGATAATATCCATAATATGTTTTATGGTTAATGTGCATTGGGTTAATTAACACTAAGCATAAATAGGGAAATATTAGTAGTTGAGATAGGACTGAGATTTTACTATATTTGATACCTGTGCTCCGGTGACACCATTATACACTATTGATCTTGAATCCTGGGTATCACTTGAGATAATAAGAGCTTCCAAAAATTTTACAATTTCAATTTCTTTTTCAGTTTGAATGGCACTGATAATATCCTTGCGCCTCGAGTAATCTTCTATGCGCCCTGTAATCAGACACAGAATCTCCTATTAGCATTGTAGTTCAGTTCTGCAACTTCACTAGCTCTGAGCATTCAAGGGAAGGAAGCTTCTCATAATATTCATACAAAACATTTGCAAAGCACTAAACACATAATTAACCTATCTGAGTCTTGCACTTCTCTTGCTGATCCTTGAAATTTTTGAGAATGTAGTCAATCCTGTAGTCAAATTTGGATAATTCGTATCTGTAGTCCCTGAATTCAAGCATTCGAAATTATGAGTCATTATTCAAAAATTTAATATATGTTGGGCAGATTTGGATCCTCTCATGTTAATAAGTAACATGACAATACAGAGAGACAAAAACAATATGAAGTAGTACACAACATTATTTTGTGTAGGATCCATTAATTTTATTCTTGTGTCTCTCTCATAATAATATCTCATTTGGTCTTTAATCAAGTCAAATAACATCGTAAAATCCATGTACCTGATCAGATAAGACTTTTTTTTGTTGTTGCATCACACTATTGTGATATTTAGGATTTGTTTAAATAAATTTTTTCAGAAGTATTTTTAAGAAAGAAAAATAAGGAAGAAAATTGAAATAAACTTCTCCATAAATTAAAATTAATTTATACATGACTTAAAAAATAGGATTTTGAAAAAGTCAATAGAAGAGAACTTCTGCAAATTAATTAGTATGTAAACTAATTTTAACTTATAAAAAAGTTTATTTCATTTTTCTTTCTTATTTGTTTCTCTTAAAAAGGTTTTTGGAGAAATATACTAAGAAGACACTAAAAACTTAAAGAAGATTGAAATTTCATGAAATGGTTTGAATAAAATGTGATGTTGCAAAACAAAAAGAGTGAAGCAATAAATCTTACCTATCACCCAAGAAATCAATGTGGCTGGTGCAAGTGACCAAGGTGCTGATTGCCCAGTAAGCAAGAACAGGAATCTCATGCAAAGTGTCTGACAAAGAAGGCACATCCTTGATGTTATACTCTGCAGTAATGAGCTTCTTCCAATCAATGATGCATTGAACCACTTGCATGACCTTCTTCACCAAACTGTTGAAGTCATCTAGTTGCTCTATGTTTTCCATGATGCTATGAAGTCTGTTCAACTCTGCCAATGATTTCCCAAGTTTGTCACGTGGAATAGGGGCAAGTTGCCAAAACTTGCCATATTCATGAGCAAAAGCTGCTAGAACTATCACTGCTTTTGCATCCCAGGAATAGTCTCTCAGCTGTTCCAGGATCAACATTGTTGTTGCATGCGCGTATTGCTCCCCACGAGTTGTGTATATCATCTGCAACCATTACTCCAACACTTACAATTCTGTTTTTCTTGGGTAAATAGTGAGACTTTTTTTTTTAATCAGTAAGAATTCCAATGACCAAAATAGGGTTCAAAATTATTTCTATATGTTATCAACCTTCTCGATGGACTCTAATGATTTCGAAGATATTCTAAATGCAACTCAAATTTATTTGCTTCTTCATAATAAATATATAGTTTTTTTTTATGATTAATAAATGATTAAAATATTTTTTCAATCTCTATAATTTTACTTCCTTTACTTTTTAATACTTATAATTTAAAATATGTCTTTTTAGTCTTTATACTTATTTTTTTTTCAATCATTTCTAGTCCCTATATTTTAATATAAATTTTTTAGTTTTTATATTTTCAATTTTTTAATCTTTTAATTTCTATCGTTATTTTTTTTTGTAATATTGTCTGTTTTATGTTAATGTTGAAGGTAAAGAAAAGAAATATCGACAATTGGCATCATAGGTCAAAAAATTTAATTGAAAGTAATTCTAGTAGAATAAATCTATCTTGAAGCACATAAACAAAAGAAAAATAATGTTACAAAAAAAAAAATTAATGCCAAGAAATAATTATTATTTTTTTAAATAGCAAATATAAGGATTATAAAAAGATTTATCTTAAGATATAAGAACTAAAAATATTAAATTAGATAAGTATATGAATTAAAAATGTCTATTTTAAACTATAATAATTAAAAAATGTAAAATAAATTAAAAAAGTCTATCTTAAATTATAAGAATTAAAAAAGATTAAAATAAATAAATATAACGATTAAAAATATCTATTTTAAATTATCTATTTTAAATTATGAAAACTAAAAATTGAAGTATGTAAAACTATAACGGTTAAATAAATATTTAACCTTAATAAATATTTAAGTTTAATTACCCGTTTGCACATTCGGAACTAAGTGTATTTAAATAGGGGTAGTCACCTCCTTAATAAATATTTAAGTTTAATTACCCGTTTAGTTGAATTAAGTGTGAGTTATTGCAAACTCTCTTGACATCTAGTTCCATTCTCCCCTAAAATCAACGTATTGGGATATTCTATCACGTACGTTACAAGAGATATTTCAATTACAAGTTCTATAGGACATTAATTGCTCATTACTTTGAAAGAAACTTTGAATTGAATTCCAACTTTACCTGGCAAGCAATTCGCTTCAAGGCAGGGATTCGTGTGAAAGAGATCAATGGACCCGTTTCTTCTCTGGGTTGATCAATTTTTTGCCCATTCTGTACATAATAAACATATGCATTCTAACTAAAATGAGCTTGCAATCATGTACATGTCACATGCAATGTTTATCATGCAAGACCTACATATAAGTTATTGAAAAATTGTACTTGCAATCAACTTTGGATTTAGATTCTCTCATACATGCAGGATACACTAATATAACTAGTAAAAGTAACAATATATCAATTATAACGAAATTTTGTTTGACAAAATGTGTCTTTTTCTTACTAAGTTCTGCTACTCAACAAGGGAGAAGATCCGGATCCAAATAACTTAACACATTTCACCATTCTATGTTAATTTTATAGTATTAAGAGTTTATTTGGATACAAATTTAATAATATTTTAAAGAGTTTTTTTACTTAAAAAATACTCTTTATTTTTCATAGAGAAATTTATAAAAATGTTTCTAACTTATATTCAAACATGCTTTAAATGGTTAGGGCAAATATGATTGTCCTAATTAATTTGCATTCAAATAAAATGATGCCATGTTTGAAGAGCACAATAGTATTTAGGAGTGTTAAGTGGGAAAGGTTACCTCCTTAATCAAATCAGCAATTTCAATGGAGTGGTTGACAACGTTTGAAGCAACATTATAAAGAGATCCAACATCGTACTTCTCAACACAATGGAAATGGGTTATGTATACTTTCTCCAAGATCTGATCATCACTAACTTCAAATGGGTTCAGCCAGACCTTCTCCTGCTGCACAGTGTTACCGCAAATTTGCTTAGGCATGTTGGTGATTCAGCTAACCAATCTTCAAAAGTATTTAGGCAATTAATTGAAAGCCAAAAATGCCTATTTATAGACCGAAGAAATAGTACACTATTTTAAAATGCAAAGACAAAATAATGGTTATCTTCTGTATAGATCAAGAAAGAGAGTGAATTACAGAATACAAAATTCATGTAGCTTTTGTGGCCCCTAACTTTGTTCTCATATAGATTTCGTAATATACCCTTAATGGCTTCATGATGTATGCTAGATAAATATTGAATAATTAAGGGTATTATCGACAATTCGTTAGGATTTCCTACACTATTGCTATTCATAAACCTACTTTCGATTCAAATCTTCAAGGAAAGAATCTGTGTAACAAACAGTACTCAAAAGAGTGTTATGTTTCCTAAAGATAAAGGGAAAATTGCGAATAAAGAAAATAATATACTCTGAGTGCTTCTGCTATCATGAGTGATGCCCGTTGATATATTTTATTATCTATAAGAATAAGAATAAGAAGATTCAAGTTTAAAATTAAATAAATAAGAATCTGCTACATTTGTGTATTATAAAATCATACTAGAGCTCCCTGTGAGGTTCTTCTATACTATACTTCAAATTAACTAATTAAGGGCATGGAAATACACGAATACGATGAGTAAATATTTACAACAATTTAAAAGAGGATATTTTCTTTTTGTGTCTACTTTTTTAACACATTTATATTGTAACATTTTTTTCTACTAATATATCTCTTAAGGATAAAATAGGAAAAATGTGTATATAAAAGATTAACCACCCACTCAATAAATAATAATTACTCACTTATTTGTTTTATTTTAACTAGATTCACATTTTTTCTAACATTTTTTTTTCTCTCTAAACTCTCTTTTGATATGTACATAGTATGATCTATGATATATATGCATGCAATCATACTCTGATACAATGTTTTAAAAATTATATCAGTCATCAAACCAATTAAAGTATTGAATTAATGGATCAAATATCGAACTGATAAATTAATATAATATTGATTAAGCAACTAAATTATAGACTTATTGACCATATAAATTAATGTATAATTAAATATATAACTTTAAACTAAATATATTATATAAAATTTTAAAGTTATTATATCACAATTTAGCAAGTTGGTTAAGTAGTGCGTGTTTGGTTTCTATTTTTAAAAGCAAATTTTTTTTCTCTTTCCACGTCCAATTATGAATTTACAGAAAAACTACTATTTTTCCTTCTGGTTAAACGTAAAAAATCACGCTTGGACGCTGATACAAACACACGCGTAATCATTGAGGTGTTCATATGTATTAAATATATAATTTAAATATAACATAAAAGTATATAAATAAAATGTGCAGGGTACATAACAAAATAAAATGTTGCTGCACACTTTTGGACAGAGTGTTGCACCTTTGGAAAATGTGTTATAGTAGTTTGAAAAGAAAAAATCACTAGTGCAAAAATTGGATTTAAAATCGGAGTTTTAAGATCGGTTACAAGATACCCAATCTTAAAAGTGAAGCGGTGATAATTTTGTAAATAACATGAACACTTTTAAGATCGGTTGAAATTTAACCGATCTTAAAACTCCGATTTTAAATCCAATTTTTTCAGAACCGATTTTGTATGTAGTATACAAAATCGGTTATGGAATAACCGATTTTAAAAGTATCGTCAGAAATCTTTTATTTTCCCCTGCATTCTCATTCTCTTCAATCTTTCCCTGAAGCTCTCATTTTCTAAAGTCTCCAATAAGGTAAATTTCGTTGTCTAATTCATTTTTATTTTCGTCTTCTCATGTTCTTCTTGTATTTCTTTTCATTTTTTCATGATTTCTCGTCTCTGTGTTGTAGATCTAGTTGGGTTCGAAACTGGAACAGCCCGTTCTGCAAGGAGAACGGTCTATTTTCCAAGCAGAACGGCCCGTTCTGCAAAGAGAACGGCCCGTTCTCCAAGTGACCTTTTAGGCCTTTCAATCAGACTTGAACGACCCTTTCCGGTTTTGGAACGACCCGTTCCAGTTTAATTTTTTTTCCACATCCGAACTTTTAAAATCGGTTATAAAACAACCGATTTTAAAAGTTAACTTTTAAAATTGGTTGTTTAACCGATTTTAAAAGTCTAACTTTTAAATCGGCTCTTTCAAGATCGGTTAAAGAACCGATTTTAAAAGTAAAAAATAACCGATTTTAAAAGTCTTTTTTTCACTAGTGAATGGTTGGACCGAGGAGTTGGTTTTCACCAATTTTTAAACAAGTTGCTAAAGTCAACACGAGTTGACTACATAAGCAATATGAAAACATGACTAGATCGGGCATGAGTCTGGTTCTCAGTTCAACCGGTTGAATCAACCAGTTCGGTCTAAATTTTAAAATTATGTTATGATACATTAGACCATGATTATATGTTTTGTATGAATGTGTTTGAGTGCGTATTATTCATAATTGAATATGATTATATTTTATATGTTTAAAACCTTGTTTTCAACATTATGTTTGTTATTGTCAAAAAGAGAGATATTGTATAATCAAAGGACGATTTAGAACTCTTTAAAAGTTATGTTTTAATATTAATAACATTTTAGAAAAGGTATAAAAAGATAAATGTCAATGATGATATAGACAATGTTAATTGAATGTTGAAATGCATGAAAACTCTTTAGACTATACACTTTGTCCATTTAAAACAAATACTTTAAATATCATATTTAATATGTATGGTGTTTCTATCATCTACTTTCATGTTATTTCTTAACAAATCAAAGGAATAAAAGTTTCTTTGACACTCACAACACATAAAGAAACAAGAATTTGCTTTTCGTCGAAAAAAAAACAAATATCTTGAAGTATAAAAAGTCAGTTAAAAGTCGTTCTCGACTAACACATAGAATAATTAATTCCTTTCCTTTTGTACCCTAAAAATAATAAGTAATCTCCTTAATCATATAAGAAGTGGTCATTTGGTAAACACATTTAATGCAAACATTTATTACACCACTAACTCCTAGTTTTACAAAGAAGCAAGATGAAGTAAGATAAAGCAAGTTAGCAAGTGTGACTCAAGGATTTGCTATAGTTATCTTCAAAAGTCACCTATATAAAGAAGTTTGATCATCTAAGAGAAGTAGAATAACAATATACAATCACTAGTGGAAAAAAGGCTTTTAAAATCGGTTATTTTCAACTTTTAAAATCGGTTTCGTAACCGATTTTAAAAAATCCGATTTTGAAAGTTAGACTTTTAAAATCGGTTAAATAACCGATCTAAAAAGTCTGGGTTGCAAAAAAAATTAATTTGGAATGGGCCGTTCAAAACCAGAACGGGCCGTTCCAGGTTTTTTAAAATGAGAACGGCTCGTTCTCCTAGTAGAACGCCTCGTTCTGCAAGGAGAACGCCCCCTTCTGCATGGAGAACGGACCTTTCTACTTGGAGAATGGGTCGTTCTCCCTGAAGAACTCCCCGTTCTCCTTGCAGAACGGGCCGTTCCAGTTTCGTAATTTGCCCAGGCTGAAATATAAATAAGAGAAGAGCATGAGAAAACTAAAAAAGACACAAAAAGAGTATAAGAAGGTGAAAACGAAAACGAAAACCAGAACGAAATTTACCTTATTGAAGACTTTAGAAAATGAGAGCGCAAAAGAGTACAAAAATGAATGGAAGGAAAGATTAAAGAGAATGAGAATGGAGGAAAATATAAAAGGTTTCTGACGATACTTTTAAAATCGGTTATTTATGAATCGATTTTGTATACTACATACAAAATCGGTTCTGAAATAGCCGATTTTAAAAGTAGCACTTTTAAAATCGGTTATTTTTTAAAATCAGTTCTTAAATAACCGATTTTAAAAGTAGCACTTTTAAGATCGGTTAAAATATAACCGATCTTAAAAATACTTTTAAGATCGGTTATTTATGAACTGATCTTAAAAGTGATGTCTGATACAACTTTTAAGATCGGTTCTTTTGTAACCGATCTTAAAAGTTATGTCAGACATACCTTTTAAGATCGGTTATTTTATAACCGATCTTAAAAGTACTTTTAAGATCGGTTAAATTTTAACCGATCTTAAAAGTGTTCATATTATTTACAAAATTGCTATCGCGTCACTTTTAAGATCGGTTACCTTATAACCGATCTTAAAACTCCGATTTTAAATCTAATTTTTGCACTAGTGAATCATTGAAGCAATTTCACTAACATATTCTTTAATCATTCATTGTACTTAAAAGGTTATTACATCTTGTTTGTAAGACAAATTCTATTAGCTTACCCAATTTAAATTGTGTGTTTGAGCTTGATGTTTGAAGAAACTTTGTTGTTTAAAGCACACATGATATTGAAGCTTGGAGGGACTTTATTGGTCTAAAAATACTTGGGTAATTTGTATAATGATTTTGTAGGTCATTACACTTACTAAATGTGACATCCTTTTTACCTCGCTAGTCAACATATATAATTAATCATAAAGTAATACATTTTTTTTTAATAAAACTTCGTCCTTATGTATTACAAAAGGTTCGTACTAAGGGTAGAAGATTCATATTTTTTTTTGCACACATAAACAAGTTCTAGAAGAGGTAACTAATATAGAAACCAAAACAAAATACATTCAAGTGGCTACCCAAAAGACATAACAAAACTCTGAAAGATTAATAAGTTTTCTAAAATAAATAGACAAGACATCAAAAGAATACAAAAAACACAACTCTATATTCTTGATATCACATCTTATTAGAACTCAATTCATAAGTATATCACAAGATCGAAGTTTTGTCACCAACATCATCGTTATGAAGATCTTCATGAATACAACACGCAAACAAGGAGAGTGAGAAATGTCTCACTTTGACTACTAATGTAATATAGAGTTGGATAGTCACACACAACAACAATATAAGCATATATAACAATTTCAAATAATAAACATAACAATTATCATATAAGAAGCATTTCAACAAACACCAACATGATTATAATGTTCATGATTCACACATATATAATGGACACAAACTTCATTAGACTATATACATTTAGTGTCGGTAAAATATTTTAACATCGGCGAATA